ACGCACGCATGTATATTATATGCTGTGATCAACTGCGCGCACGCGTGTATATTGTATATGCCCTGATCAACTGCACGCACGCATGTATATTATATACTGTCATCGCTTACACACACGCGTGTTCAGCTACGCGCACGCACGTATAATGATGTAATGAACTACACGCACCCGTGTATGTTGTGTATTGTGATCAGGCTACGCGCTCGCCCGCCTATATATTATGTTGTGATGAGTGTGGGTGGTTGCGGGGGCATGCAGCACAGAGCTATTGGAGTTGCTCTTACGGTGTCTTGTGTAGGCTTCCCTCAGCGTGCGTCTCGTCGTATTTCTAAACATCTGTATCGGTCGTCGCAGACGCTGTGGGAGCGTGGGACGGACTGTCGACGGCCTGAGAGCCCGTCAGCGTGTATACAAGTAACTCTAGCGTTAACGTCAAGCTGAGAAATGTGTCAGACTGTGCTGGGAAAAAATTCTAGGTTACATAGACCGGAGCAAGGCGCATATAGAAAGCAAGCCACTGCGTGAGTGTATTTTGATTCCATTCTAACTGTTATTGTACGTCATTCGTAAGCCGTGGGGTCAAGCTCTTTCTCTTCCGATTCCACTGACATCGCGTGCATTAGTGTACCATCGAGTCAGTCACTGCTGGTTGACCTGCCATGTGTATCATCTGCATTCCCCCCCCACCCACCCACCCACATCAGGTATATAAAGCCAGCCTCCATGATCTCAGTGCACCTACTTTGAATCCCCACCCCCACGCACCTACCGAATCACCCAACCTCCACCACTATTCCCCCCCACACCCCGCACACAGCACCAGTCCCTACTTCTTGCGGGCTGAATATTGTATGTGTATTCCCAAGGGGGCGTCAAGCATCAAGGCTGCGACTGTATGTTGATGATGTCGGGACGCACGCACTGCATCAGCGTATGTGTGGCGGCGTGATGGGTGCATGACATGCAGGACTATTCAGCTGTCACGCACGTGTTGTTCTCTCTCTTCCTCTCGCTCTCTCTCTCTCTCCCTCTCTCTGTCTGTCTCGCTCTGTCTGTCTGTCTGGCGCGCGCGCTCTCTTTCTCTCTCTCGTCTCTCTCGTTCCTCGCGCTCCTTCCTCATCTCTCTCTCTTCTGTCTGTCCTCGCTCTCTTCTCCCCCTCTCTCTATCTTTCTTCCTCGTTTATCCCTCTCGCTCGCTCGCTTGCTCGCTATCTTATCTATCTAAATCTATCTATCTATCTATCATGCTATCTGTCTATCGTATCTAATCTTTCTGTTCTATCTGTCTGTCCTGACATATCTATCTATCGTCTCAACCAACTTTATCCCCTTTTCGCTCCCGTTTTCTCGATCCGCTTTCTTTCTCACTATATCTTGCGTCTCTCCTAAATACTGTATTTACGTTCCTCTCGTGTAAGCTATGATTAGTATAGCACTGACCAGCCCCTCCTCTTTACACACTCTCTCACAATCCCTCTCACACAATCCCCTACTCCCCCTCTCAACACTCTCCGTCTCACAATCTCCATAACACAATCTTTTAAATCCTCTCAGCAGCAACTCAACAACCTCGCCCAGCAATCCGCCTCCTGTCTCCCAGAAAACATAAACCTTTGTTGTTGGTGCCGCCCGGTACTCTTTCTGTTTGGCGGACTAATAGGTGATATCCGCCGTAGTGTGTGTGCGTGGAGTGCGTGCGCTGCAGTGCGCGTGCGTGGCGTGGAGTGCGTGCGTGCTTGTGTGCGCGTGGAGGGGATAGTGACGGCTTGAAGCGTTGACTGCATGGGGACCACGCACGGGTGGCGTAAGCACGTTAGTAAAGTGTGGGCCGTGGTCAACTGTGACCGCCGTGCTAAACTTTTGACAAACACGCGCGCTTGTATCCGGTCGTAGCACGGACTACGTAAATAGTACTGTAGTGGTGGTGCTGCTGCTGGTGCTACTAGTGGTGTTGCGGCTATTGGAAGTGGTGGTGAACGAGAAATAGATAGAAGAGACCAGAGAGAGAGAGAGAGAGAGAGAAA